TCTTCTTCTTCTTCTTCTTCTTCTTCTTCTTCTTCTTCTTCATCATCATCATCATCATCCTTCCAGCCTATAAGCCATACAAGATGGCTATCCACTTCAAACAAACACCATTCAAAAGCCAGTGAAAAACACTGAAAAATAAGACAATTAAAGAAATAACAGCTGAACAAGAAGGTCTCAACACCTTCCCTGAGAGTAGGAAGTGAATTTTTCAGAGCTCCGGAGCAATGCAGAAGGCCTTTCCAAGGGTCTCTGAATGTGCTATACTAATTCTGACAGCAAGGAGAGGCAAGAAACAGAAGAACACTTACTTCATAGGAGGAACTTCATCTATCCGATTGCCAAGCTGGGACTCATGCGATTTGCTCCTCGTGAGGGTTGGGAAGTTGGGCAGCAGCTGGAAAACCTTTCGGCCAGGTGGAGGTGGAGTCCGTGGTGGCTTCCCTCTCTTGAGCTGGGGGGTGGTAGGTGGGGTAATGGCGGTACTGTGAGGAGTTCTGAGGTTCCGCCGCCCACAGTGAGTGGGGAAAGCAAACGATTCCAAGAGGTTATCGGCAAAGGCAGGGGGACCTTGACTCGCGGGCAAGTTGTCCGAAGAGGGGATGGTGGAGACTGAGACAGAACGGGGCTGTGGGCCATTGCCTTTCAGAAGGGAAAGGTTGCCCTGCATCCACGTCAGCCCTGGAGGGCAGGGGGAAAGTTCAGAAGGGGGCATCAAACTGGTTTCCCGGCATACATCAGGTGGATTCCACACCAGATGGTCTTTGTACTCTCCACCTGCATGGAGATATTAAGACAGTGTTCAAAGAAAGCCATAGATGAGGCAGTGAGGAACAGATGGGGCATGACAGACTAAGGAGATGGATTTTTTTTTTGCTGGCAGCTGTAATTTCAAGCTAACATCTGTCTGCCTTGCTACAATTCCATCCTCTACTCTTTTGTTTCTCTTGCACAGAGATTAGCCCAAGTCCCCAATTCAAATGCGTAATGGGCTGTGAGAATAAGGGAGACAGGAGGAACAGCCACAGCCTAGACAACAATCAGACAAGAGATCTCAGCCCACAGAAGGAATGGGGGTGGAGAAAACATCTCAGAACGGACCCACCCTAGTTCTCTGGAAAGTAAAGGGAAGGGAGGGGAGAAGTGCTTTCAGACTTGCAAGATTCTGTTGCTGTAACCTTACACTGAAGGTAGTGTTAGTTACTCATGGTTTTGGTTTCCTGTCTGGACTACTTCGAAGGGCTTACAAAATGTCACACCCTCCATCTCTTCTCGGCCTCTAGGCCTTCAACTGCAGGAGATGGTAATGTATTTGTTATTACTGAAATAATTTACAAGGCTGCCCATCTCACAAAGGTGACTCTGAGTAGTATACAGAAATTAAAACATAATGCTGACTTACTTCCCAAAGTTTTTGTAAAAGGGCAACCCCTTGCCTCCCCCCACCGCAGGATGTTACTGAACTCCAACTCCCAGCAGCCCTAGCCAAAATGGTTAATGGGGAAGATTACTCAAAAGTGTACTTCAACAACTTCTTTCTGGCCCTGCAAGGGATTATTGACATAACATGGGGAAATGCTTTAAACAACTGTTCAAGTCAATAAAGTAATATTTATTTATTTCAGTAATTTGCATGGTGCCTATTTTCAGACTCTAGACTAGTGTTTCTCAACCTTAGCAACTTTAAGACGGGTGGACTTCAATTCCCAGAATTCCCCAGCCAGAGTTGAAGTCCACACGTTTTAAAGTGGCCAAGGTTGAGAAACACTGCTCAAGACGTAATATTAAGACACAAAAAGATGTCTTTAAAAAACAACAACAATAAATAAATAAATATTATCTAAGCCAGTGCAGGGTGTCCAATCCAACTGCAAAAGCTGCTGTATGGAACTAGAGGAACATCTGGTTGAGGCCTCATTCAGGCTGTTTGCAGATCCCATCTGTCTTATGGGAAAAGCCCTCTTCCCACTTCAGGCTACTGGCTGGGATTTCTCCCCCCCCCCCCCCCCCCCCCCCCCCTCCCCCCCGCCCCAAGGATCTGCCCACACACACCCTCACAACCCCCCCAGTGGCGGAAACACAGATCACTCCACACCC